GGGGCCCCTGTGTCCTTGCCCAAACTCAAAAAAGCCTATGAAAAAGGTACCAGGGGCATCTCATTGGGGCCCCCTACTGACCCCGGGCCCTCGCGCAGTGCCCGAGTTTCCAAATGGTCAGTCCACCCCTGTTTCTGAGATAAAGCAACTACATTTATTTTGTAGTGTAGACATGGAAATACATCCACAACACCTTTTTTTATAGGTTTCTGACATTGAAATGAGCAGTAAGCAATTACAGTAGGCCTGTCAAGAGCGAAATTCAGGGGATGTCTAGGCGGAACTTCTATTAAAAATGTTAGTTTCCTGGTTGTTATGCTGACCTCACAAATTTTATTATTCAAAGTATTTCTTATACAGTATTTATAAAGCGCCAATAGTTCGCTCAGCGCTGTACATTACAAAAGGGAGACAGAACTTGTGACAGAACAATACCAATACAATGCAAAACATGAGGGATCAAGGGCCCTGCTCTTTCGAGCTTACAATCTAGGAGGGAGGGGATGGTGGCACAGGAGGAGATAGCTGTGGGGGATGGAGTGGTAGGAAGAGTGGAGGAGGTCGGCAAGTTAGCAGGGGGTGGGGTAGGCTTCCCTGAAGAGATGGGTTTTCAGGGTGCGCCTAAACAGAGGAGAGTAGGTGATAATCTGATGGGTTGGGGCAGGGAGTTCCAGAGATGGGTGACATTTTACCTGGATGAAGTCCTGGAGGCGGGCATGGGAGGAGGAGACCAGGGAACTAGAGAGAAGGAGGTCTTGTGAGGAGCGGAGTGTGCGTGCAGGGCGGTACTTGGATATTAGGTCAGTGATGTAGTTCGGGGCAGTATGGTGGACAGCTTTTTGTACGTCAGCGTTAGGCTTTAAATAATAATTAACAAATGTTGTTGTTGGCCAGAAACAAACATTCAAAAGTCAGAACTCCTTCTAATAATATAATATTTTGGACAAGTGACTAAACCAGTATTAAAACATGAGGTTTAGAATGACACGCAGATAACTAGCATTTTAAGGAGAGGCCAGCATTTATCTTTCTTTTAACAGGTTTTCTATAATTACACAATACCATAATCAAAATCAACCTCATTTCTGCTGTAATTAAAGCTGAACAATGCATTTTAATCAGTACTAGATTTATTAACAGCTGCTAAAGAAGAAAGAAATCTAAAGCAGTGCTGTGTGATAATTGCACGAGGTATTAATTTTAATATTCATTTTAAGATAGAAAACTGGATTAAAGCATTACTTTACCAACATTAGCTTATTTGTACATGAACAATTTATACTGTATTTGTACTTCAGTGGCTGCAAGATTGGAAATGACATTTTACTGGCATGTTTTCTTTAGCTCTTTCAACATTAAAAGAGAAAGAGAAAATGTGTGTGACTGTTCTCTTTAACCACTAGCCTACAGGACACTTATACCCCCTTCCTGCCCAGGCCAATTTCCAGCTGTCAGTGCTGTTGCACTTGTGATGTGTATGGGCGGCACGGATGAATGGCAATTGCACGGTCATATAACACTGTACCCATATGACATTTTTATTATTTTTTTGTGACAGGTAGAGCTTTATTTTGGTGGTATTTAATCACCTCTGGGTTTTTTATTTTTTCTTAAACAAACCAAAAACCACTGAAAATTTTGAAAATAAAAATGATTTTTCTTAGTTTTTGTTATAAAATTTTGTAAATAAGTGATTTTTCTCCTTCACTGATGTGCGCTAATGGGTGAGGCTGCAGTGATTGGCACTGATAGGCTGCACTGATGGACACTGATAGGTGGCACTGATGGACACTGATGAGGAGGCACTGGTAGTTGGCACTGATGGACACATTGACAGGCATCACTGATGGGGCACTGAAAGGCAGCACTCATATATGGCACTGATGGCGGCACTGATAGGCGGCACTGACTGGCACTGTTAGGCGGCACGGATAGGCAGCACTGATGCGTACTGATATGCAGCAATGATGCACTGATATGCGGCACTGAGTGGCACTGATAGGTGGCACTGATTGGCAGCACTGATCGGTGACACTGACTGGCATTGATAGGTGGCACTGACTGGAACTGATGGGTGACACTGAAAGGCAGCTCAGATGGGCACTGATATGTGGCATTGATGTGGCACTGATGGGCACTGAAATGTGGCACTGATGTGGCACTGGCAGGTGGCACGGATGAGCACTGAGAGCTGGCACTGATGGACACTGACAGGTGGCACTGCGGGGCTACACAGATCATCAGGGCACACTGATCATCAGTGCCCTGATGATCTGTGTACATGTCCCCTCCGAGGAATGCCGATTACCAGCTTGCCTCTCCTCACGGCCTGTGAGCGTGACAGCTCGTGGGGAGAGAAATGCTGATAACCGGGATTTCCCTGTTTACATGTGATCGGCTGTGATTGGACACAACTGATCACATAACCGAGCCAACATCTTCGGCTCTTTCTGAGGATCGGTGACCCGCTGTGTCCGAGGGACACAGCGCACCGCCGATCGCCGCACTGCGCACTCCGGGAGCATGCGTGTTTAGAATGGGAGGACGCCATAGGACGTCCTCCCAGAACGAGAGAACCACCTTGCGTCCATCACATTACTATACGGCAGGCAGGAGGCGGTTAAAGACACCAGCCTGACACACAATGCATATGGACTAGTATTTCATAACTAGAAGGTAATACAATGTGCAGACTTCCTTTTATTCTAACTGCATTTCATACTGTATGTCCATCAGCATTCCAAAAATGTATTTCTTTTAACACTTCAGCAGCTATTCAGTCTTGTAGAAATGAGTCCAAATGCCTAGTCTGGCAACCTTGAGTTTTTGAGTGGTGGCCCCACAGACTTAAGTTTGCTGATTGGAGGTGGGTGGGGGTTTTTTTTGGACTATCCCTCACAACTACTATCTTATCCATGTCTATCCATGGGACTACTCTTTGGCTATTTGGCATGAACAGAAGAGTATTTTGGTATCTTACTCAGACTTTACATGTTTATTCTGCCACAAAATTAAAATCTCAATCTTTTTTTTTTTTACTATGGGACTTTATTTCACTCTAAATAAAGATGTTTTATTTTATTTTTTAGAGCTCTTGTAACATGATAAGAACAAGACTGGATACAATGTACCAGCTTTTTATCTGCCTATTTTCATCTCTAGTTTGCTTGTTTCATTAAGTGGGCAAGCTTGGGCCCTGGATGTAAAATATAAAAATTAGAAGGGAAGACCGCAGTTGTTTTTAGTATCTGGAACATTTTATTCCTAGATTTTATTTTTAGATTCATCAAGGAATGTTATCAGATCTGATGATATTTATTTTGTACCCTTGGTATGTGATAGTGCAGCTTAATAAATAAGGCCTATAGTCCACATTTTCTAAGTGTTCATTTATAAAGCTGGTATTTTTCATTATCATCAGATGTCATATATAAAACATGGGACACTTTAGACATACTGTACAGTTAGCAGGATAAAGAAAATAAATAGTGCTGAAACTGCACCTTAAATGAGAGGTCAGGAGGTCTGGGCATTTTAACACCAAATTTGAAAAGATAATTTGAAATGCAATATCACCTTAGGACACATGAAGGGCAAAATAAAAGTGCCTCTTCAAAGGGATTCTTGTTAATTACCTATGTGGTGTCACTGACTCAGGGAAGCAGTGAAGTCACCCTTTTGGTCATGTGACAGTTCTCAGACCAAAAGATTGGCTGCTAGACTGAGTACTTTCACAGGGGAGCAGATCACATGCTTCCAAATACCCAGGAACTGGGATGAAGAAGGGATTGGCAATGGATAAGCAGTTAAGATTTAAATGAGTAGGTCAGGGAGGCTTTGCTGAGACTTTGTCCTGCATGGAGTTGGTAAACATGGAGTTGAATGAGAAAGCTCCTTACATCAGAACATAACATAACAAAGGTAATGTTTGAACTAATATCAAACAATTGATATTCAAACAAACAATCAAACAATTCAGGGATAGGATACCACTCTAAACAAACAGGTGCCTCATCTACCAGGGAATTCCCTGTTGGAGGGTTTGCTTACTTTGGGTGCTTGGCATGGAAAAGGTCCCCCAATCAAACCAGACCGGGGGGAAACTCACCACACTGTTGTAGTGTGCTGTGGGACTCAAAATCCTTTATTATTTGTTTGGAATCCATTGTGTTTGTTATACACTTGGTATACTTTATAATTTGTACAAATAAATATTGATATTTTAATGAGTTAATACGTTGCCTTCAAAATCCCATCAAGATTACAAATGTTTGATGTTTATACAATAGAGGGATGGTGTCAACCACACCTTTAGTCACACCAATCTATATAATGTTTGAACAAAATGTACTTGTTTAACCACTTGTCTACAGGGCATTTTCACCTCCTCCCTGCCCAGGCCAATTTTCAGCTTTTAGTGCTGTCGAACTTTGAATGACAATTGCGCGGTCATGCAACACTGTACTAATATGACATTTTTAGCATTTTTTTTTTGAGACAGATAGACCTTTCTTTTGGTGGTAATTAATCATCTCTGGGTTTTTTATTTTTTGCTAAAGAAACCAAAAAGTACTGAAAATTTGAAAAAAAAAAATTCTTAGTTTCTGTTATAAAACTTTGTAAATAAGTAATTTTTCACCTTCACTGATGTGCGCTAATGAGGCTGCAGTGATGGGCACTGATAGGCTGCACTGATGAGCACTGATAGGTGGCACTGATGGGCACTAATGAGGAGGCACTGACTGGCATCGACAGGCATCACTGATGTGCACTGAAAGGCGGCACTCATATATGGCACTGATAGGCAGCACTGACTGGCACTAATAGGCGGCACTGTTAGGCGGCACTGACTGGCACTGATAGGCATCACCGATGGGCACTGATAGGCAGCACTGACTGGCACTGATAGGTAGCACTGATTGGCAATACTGATAGGCAGCAATGACTGGCACTGATAGTTGACACTGAAATGCAGCTCAGATGGGCACTGATATGTAGCATTGATGTGCACTGATAGGCACTGATATGTGGCATTGATGTGGCACTGAAGGGCACTGGCAGGTGGCATTGATGGGCACTGACAGGTGACACTGATGGACACTGACAGGTGGCACTGATGGGGCTACACTGATCATCAGGGCACTAATCAGTGTACATGTCCCCTCTGAGGAATGCTGATTACTGCATTTCCTTATTTACATGTGATCAGATGTGATTGGACACAGCTGATCACATCACAGAGCTGACGTCATCGGCTCTTTCCACTGATTGGTGATCCACTGTGTCCCAGGGACAAAGCGCACCACCGGTCGCCATGCTGCACGCCCCGTATGACGTTCTCCCAGAACGAGAGAACCGCCACCCACACACCATTACCTTACATGGCAGGCGGGAGGCAGATAAACAAGCTAAGGGGTGTATGTATATTGCAATGTTATATTTTCAATTCAAGCAAAGTACAGTATATATGGCATACTCATTTTTCTTAAAAATAAATTGTGTACTTTCATTTTTCTAATGAAATGGCAAGGCAAGTAAACTTAGGAAGGAAACAATTGTTATGAAAACATTATATAATCTCACAAATGGACAATTGTGACAGTTCTAGTATTGCATTTATTTTACAGTACAAAAATGCATCTGTTTTATGATGTTTTTTCATAATAGTAACACTAAAGTAGTTTTGCTAGTTTAATGGGCATTAGCTGGGAAGTACATAGCTTGTTTTCTGTTACTAGGCCATTTGGGTGACTTCTGTGAGTCACTTGAGATGTAGACTTTGGTCTGTTAATTAACTGGTTACTCAGTCTCCAAAGACTAATCATTTTTAGCTGACAAATGCCAGGCCACCAATCGGTTCTTTATTTTACTGCAGCTACTGTACATACTACCAGTTGTAAACTCATTAAGTATTGCAAGTGTAAAACATGACATATCTGAAGAACTACCAACTATTACACATTTATAAATTGAGCTCTGTTCAAATCAATAACAAGATCTTATTTCAGACCCTAAATAAAAACAAAGCCTAATTTGTTTCTCAATTTACAGAGTTTGTAGGGCTGCAAAGAAGCTGATTGTAGAAGAGAAGGGTCAGCTCCACACAGTTCCTTATTTTTCTCAAATAGCAAGTAGAATTTCACATGGCTGGTAGAAATTTAGATGATGCCAAAACTGAAGTTTAAGCATGGGCTATTTTTTTGTAACTTTTTTGTGAATCATCAGGGGTACTGGGTGGTGGGGGTTGAGTATCTGGAGTTCACCTCATTATTAAAGGGGGTTTCCAGATTCTGATAAGCCCCCTGCCTGTAGACCCCACTAACACTGGTCAGAGTTGAGGCCCTTGCCCTCATCAACATGGGGACAAGATGTTTTACTAGGGAGTCGCCCCTAGCAAGACACTCTCCATATGTAGCGGACATGTGTCCTGGTTTGGTTCAGGATGGGTTGCCACATGCTTGCCCCTTCCTTTCCTGGCCAGCCAGGTTGATTGCTCAGATTAAGGGTCTAGTATAGATGTTTAGGGGGACCTCACAGTTTTTTGTTTTATTGGAATGGAGTCCTTCATAAAATCTATTCCAGACCCCAAGGGACTGAATTTCCTGAGGGACCTCATGCTTTTTTGTGGGTTCTTTTTTGAATGTGGTCACATCAGACTCCATTTTTTTTTCATCTTTGCTGTAGGATGTGCTGCTCAGTGTATTCTGATGGCGGGAAAGTCTTTCTGCTGTCAGAATACAAAGACAATCAAAGGAATACACAAACAGAAACATTTTATTAGTCACTTTTGCTTTCAGGCCAATTTTTAGCTTTCAGCGCTGTTGGACTTTGAAGGACAATTGTTCAGTCATTCAGTGTTGTACCCAAACTAAATTTGTATCATATTTTTTCACACAAATAGAGATTTCTTTTGGTTGTATTTAATCACCACTCGAGTTTTTTATGTTTTGCTAAATAAATGAAAAAGACCAAAAATTTTGAAAAAAATAAATTTTCTTGTCTCCGTGATACAATTTTGCAAAACAAATTGTTGTTCATATAGGTTTTAGGCCAAAATGTATTTGGTGAAAATAATCCAAATCAGTGTTTATTATTTAGTCTGTAGGAAAGTTATAGTATCCACAAAGTATGGTATATATCTGAAAATCAATCAATTCCGATTTATCTGATCTACTGACAGGCTCTCATTTCTTGAGGCCCAGAAATGTCAGGACAGTTTTTTTTTTTTCGGATAGCAGATAGTCCAAATTATTCAGTAAGAGGCATGGTGAGTTTTTTGAAGTTGTAGTTTTTTTTGTCATAAATTTTTGGAAAGTGAAGAAATAAAAAAAAAAATCATTTTTTTTTCTACACACCCAGTGCAGTACAGTGTCATCATATAACTTGTGCGGCGGTGATCAAGGACACTGACTGGTAACAATACAAAAAAAAAAATAATAATATTTTTCTTTTTTTTTCTTTACAACATTTTTTCTTATAATTTTTTTTTTAAATGTGACCAGAGAGATATAATGTTACCATATTAACATTGTACTAATCTGGGAAGTGATCAGGATTTTTTTTTACACATTCTAACAGCTTATAGCAGTGAATTTCACTGCTATAGGTAAGCATTTTACTAAATTAAATCAATTCAAAGTGTGTTTTGTTGTGATTAGCTGTGATTGGCCACAGCTAATCACATGGTACAGATGGGCTATGTCTGTACCATGTGATCACTGTGACCAATCACAACTAGCAACACAATTGTACTTGATAAATGGCATGAATCAAAGCCATTAATTGTTTACAATTTCATGTGATCTTCTGTTATTGGTTGCAGAATCACATGGTACTGGCAGTGGGCGCTCGCAGCGCAGCCAAACAGTAGCTCATAGGGGTCATTCCAGGAACATGTCATATGACGTCCACCCAGAACAATAGCCCACCCAGAACAATAGCCCACCTAGCAGTCAATTTTCTATAGGCCAGGCGGGATGTAGTTAATCTTAAAAGGACCTCCATTGGCAGGTAGTAAACTAGTCATTAAAACTTTCCAGTTTCAGTGCCTCTGAGCATGTAATTAATTCCATCACTTAGAAATCTCCCATGTCAACAGTTTTCAATATCATCAAATACCTTCCTTAGCAAAGTCTTTATGGTATGTCATAAACCAGCTTAGACTGATAGAAAGCTAATAATCATTTTGATCTGGGTATCTCCCATACATAATTCATAAATTCTGACATTGTATTTATGTTTTTATTTATTACAGGTACTTACATAGCACCATCAGTTTATGCAGCGCTTTACATATATATTGTACATTAACATCGGTCCTTAACCCTCAAGGGGTGTACAATCTAAGTTCCCTAACTCACATTCATACATACACATACTAGGGCCAATTTAGACAGGATCCAGTTAACCTACCAGCATGTCTTTGGAGTATGGGAGGAACTGGAGTACCCGGAGGAAACCCATGAAGGCACAGGGAGAACATGCATACTCCAGGCAGGTGGTGCCGTGGTTGGGACTCGAACCAACTACCATAGTACTGCAAGGCGGAAGTGCTAACCATTTAGCCACTGTGCTGCCCCTGACATACATTAAATACAATAATATGTCTGAATGTTTAAAAAAATAGCTGCCATTTAGGCACCAAGAACCCCTTTATTGTGAGGCACAAGAAACTAAAAGGACACATTACACTCCTTGTAAGGAAGGCATCCAAGAAGAAGGTATACCTTTTCCTTCAAAAGCTAATTTCATGGTGGTCAGTAATTTATGGACTATTAGACTGTAGGGAAATATTGATACAATTAGAAAACTGTAACTGAGGGAAGGTCTGCTAAACTACCATAAAACACTTTGTAAACCCCTCTACAGACCCTCTGATTGGTCATGTCACCTCTATGAATGCCCTCCTTGGGATCCTGAAAAGATGGTTACATCTATTAGTGATAATTTTTTTTTGTTTCAATCCTCTAACTGATACTTGTACAGGACATCTTGGTCTGTTAAAGGAAGTTGAAAAAAATAAGAGAGATTCTGACCAGATCAACAGGGAAAAATGTAGCAGTCACCATACCTAAGAACTGGTAAGCTACAAATATAATTTTTTTTTTGTTTTTGGGTTGAATACCAATTTATGCCTTTTTAGTTAGAGACATTCTTTTTTAACATCTCAGATATAACTTTATTTCTCCTCAACATGTAATGTATTTTAGAATCATTTGTGTTATAGCTCAATATTTTGAGGATCTGTCCTACATATATCATATACAAAATAAAAGTAAAAAATATATTTTGGATATTGTTTACTTGACTATTACTCATTTGTCTGTTTTGTCCACTCTGTTCCCAACTTAAAAATACACAGATCTTGAAACAACACACACGACCTGATTTGACATATAACCCTTCCAGCTTAGTTCTGACTCAGAAATCACAAATTTTGACAATCAAAGCACAGTCACAGTTTTTCCATATTGCTTCAGTTATTACTACACTTCATTAACACTGCTTGAGCTGGAAAGTAGTAAATATTGTGAAGTGTTACCAAATATTATCTTGTACCCTTAAATTGATTGTGTTCCCCATCAAATGAGGAACAAAGCAAATTTGTATTTGCTGCTGACCTATAAGTTCAAATGAGTTTGCAATAAACATTCATCATAGGTGTGGCTATTTATCAGAGACACTGACTGCTGCACTGGCATACAGCATCTCCAGTGCATCTGTCAGTGTCTCTAATCAATAGTGAGCGCAGTACAGCGTCACCATTGAACCACTATACTGCTTGGAGGAGGGAGTGATCTTTTTTTTTTTTTGTGACTACTACATTCCAGGGGTGGACTGACAACTCATGGGGCCCCCAGGCAATAGGGGATCATGGGGCCCCTGTGTCCTTGCCCAAACTCAAAAAAGCCTATGAAAAAGGTACCAGGGGCATCTCATGGGCCCCCTACTGACCCCGGGCCCTCAGGCAGTGCCCGAGTTTCCAAATGGTCAGTCCGCCCCTGCACAGGGTGCAGCAGTCTGGTACTCCAATGGTCCAGCATGCCCCTTGCCCAGCTCCAACAAACAGTGTTGTTTGGGGGGCACAATTACTGCCGAGTGTAGCACTAGGCAGGGGTTTTCAAAGTATTGAAGACCTGTGCCTCTGTGTTCTGTGTGAGAGCAGTGGCTGGTCTCTGCAACATACTGTCAGGCAAGGGTATTTGGGGCCCCCGGGCAATAGGGGATCATGGGGCCCCTGTGTCCTTGCCCAAACTCAAAAAAGCCTATGAAAAAGGTACCAGGAGCATCTCATGGGGCCCCTACTGACCCTGGGCCCTCGGGCAGTGCCCAAGTTTCCAAATGGTTAGTCCGCCCCTGCTGCATTCCCAGTTACTGTAGTAGGCAGTCAGCTTCCTTTCACATCCAAGCACTCTCCGAGGAAACAGCTCAAAA